CGTGTGCTCTTCCGATCTGTGATATATCAATCATGTAATGCAACTGTTATAAGACAACATGCATAAAACTCTAATTTTAGTTTTTTTTTCTTAAAAACCATACGGTTAATTGATTTAAAATTTTAATATAATGTTAGTTTTGTTTTAAAAAATATTCTATATAATTTTTAAACAGATTAAAGTATTTTGATTTTGCTATCGAACCTCCTTAAGTGGAACGATGCAAAGAGCGTTGTGAGCATTGCGAGCGCTAAGTGGAACGCACCCTTAAGAGGAAATCCGAGAGAGAGCATTCAAAATGGTATCTTTCTCCTTTTCCAAGTTATATTGCGCATGTGCAATAGACGGTAGTGAAGCTCATACAGTCTCGTTCTAAGGTTGAATATAATGCGTGAAGCTGGGTGTGCCTAGAGTTAGATGATAATCTAGGACTCTAGCTGTATGCAGTTGGCAAGGTCTCTCTAAAAATCTGTGCTCTCCGTCGTTTAGATGTCGATAAGATGAAACTGCTACCGGAGAGGATCCGAGAGCGGACATGCCGGCCTTTTGGCTGTAACGCTAAAATGCCCTCGCGCACTGTCGCCTTCTGAAGAAGTAGATCCAAATTAGCAAAATCAAGATTTCTGCACAATTTGTGGTGCGTGTCCGTACTAAATCCACTTTTCGAGTCTGCTGGAGCTTTATTTTCGAAAAATTACGCATTAGAAAATAAGGAAATATACTTTCTAATGCGTAATTTTTCGAGAATAAACGCCTGCAATTAAGCTGCGACCGGTGATTGAGCTAATTTCAGCGTCTTTATGTCCACCACCGACGAGATATTATTAACCTTTTAACGATGGGAGTGGTCGATATATCGACCACCTAGGGGACACAATTTTTGATGTTTTTTCAGGGAAAATTTTATGCGTTGAATATGGAAAAAAATGTAAAAATTCTTGGAAGCATCCTTGACCTTGAAAATCGCTATTTCTTTTATTTAAAAAAAATTTAACCTTGAAATGGCGATTTTCAAGGTCAAGAATGCCACCAGGATTTTTTTCACTATTTTTTCCGTATTCAGCGTATCAAATTACGTAGGAAAATACTCTCAAACCTTCGCGCTAAATTTTTACATTAGATTTTATCTTTGCAGGCGGGACTGGTCGTATTTCAACCAGCAGTCAGGTGGGGAACTCCATATAAGAAATTCATTAAATTTATTTATAAATTTTACGTCTAATAAGAAGTCGATTTTAACACATATTTCCCCGCCCTTAAAAGGTTAAAGACTGACACTCTTACGGAAGTTAGCATGGCTGGTTCAATAATTGCTTAAATTTAAGCAATTAGTCAATAATATAATATTAATTTAATGATTTATTGTTGGATCAATGTTTTTTAGACATGTAAATTGTAATTCATTTGTATTATAACTTGCTAATAGTTAATTTTATTTAAAACTGCATTTTTATAGTTTCCATACGTGTTTGATTATCCAGAGAGATGGTAAAACAGTTGGAAAAAATGTAATTTTGCGGCAATATATTTGATTTTATAGTATTATAAGTATTCATACTTATTTATAAAGCATTTATATAATAAAAATTATAATCTTAATAATATATTATTTAAATAAACCGTAAATTTGTCAAATGTTGATAACATCGACACTCTGCAATTACCTCCGGGCCCGCCGGGCTGGCACGAAAATTTGTCCAGGGCTGATGATCTTTAATAGCATCTCGTCGGTGTGTCCACAAAACGTGGACATTGAACTATGTAGCTAATGTCCACGAATTTTTGGTGGTGATCCGTGCTATGTCCACGATTTAACAATTGTGTTTAACAGTTGTTCTGTGCTATATGGGGTGTGTTCCAAAATGAACTTTGAGTGAATCTTGGAGGTTGAGGTTGAGGTTTAGTGGGGATGAGGTTAACCAAGATAGTAGTTATTTTGGAACGGGACTTAATTACAAATAGGTAAGTTGGCAACAAAGTTGACAAAATAATACATAAAAAATAAAATTTAACTTTAACACTTTTAAAAAAATATTATGTATGTCTCAGACATGAAGCCTTCTTCCAATGAGGAACTAAAAGGATACATTGATAAATACTAATACTGATAAATCCGCAAAATTATTTGTTGCGTATATAGTTGTTGCGTATATGTTAGTGAGCCCACTCCGCAGTTCTATACATTCCGCGTCGCCGAGCAAAGCGGTAAGCAAACACGGCGGACAAGCCATAAAGAAAGCATCCTTTTGAATAAATAGATTAATATCCGAGTTCGGCGCCGATCTTATCGCGCGACGTCGCGTCCGACGTCTCGTTCGACATGTTTATTTAAACACAAAAAAAAGAGAAAGCGGCAGGACCAATCATGTGTCTCGCATGACTCATGATTGGCCCATGCTTGCCGAGAGTTTCCCTATATAAGGAACAGCCCCGATGGGCCTAGACAGAAACGATTTTCATAGCGAAGCATACGCATAAGAAAACGTTAACCGAGTTCTCGAAGTTACAGTGAGGCCGAGTCCTCTCATAGAACAGAAGCCGAGCCCTCTCATAGAACAGAAGCCGAGCCCTCTCGTAAAACCGAGGCCGAGTCCTCGCACATATTGATACTAAAGAGACCGAGTCCTCTCACAGAGGCCGAGTCCTCTCATCTCATATTATATTCTTGACGCGACCGAGTTCGTGTATATATTTCTGTGTATTAAACAAGTCACAGTACTAATAAACATTTTTTAAAAAACTAATACGTGGAGTGACCTTCCTCGTATATACGATCCAATTATTAGATATAATAAAGTCTGATAAAATTAATGGAATAAAAAATCTCACCTTGCTGTGGTGAGCAACAGCCAGGTTATAGCGGCGCTCTTTTCGCAATACTGATCCGTCAACAAGTCTCGTACGATGTAATAAATACCGCCGTCTATGTCCTGCAGGGAGACTACGTCTCCGACTTGGAAATATATGTCTTTGTAAAACTTATTTTGGGTTATCTTAGGTTATATGACAGCCATTACACTAGACTCTTGCTTTTTCCCCACGTTTTACCTTGGGTTTAGCTGAAAGGATATTACTAGCCGGTTTTGTTACCGGCGAAAGGATGTAGAGATATTTGTCAGGAATATTGGAGGAACGTAACTAGGGTAGACACTCGTGGTACACAGTAATTAACAGAACACAGGTTTATTCAATTAACACGAAAAAGGCGCTCGACTCGCGAGGCATAATGGCTGAGATCTTCTCTCGTCGACAAAAGACTTAAGACCTTCACAATCTCTTGATTTTGAGAAGTCATAAAAGTTAATTCTATGGTTAACGCCATCCCGGCATTTTTCGCGACACCGGTAAAAGTTTTGACCTCTCCGTACACTAGCGCCAATTCTATTTTTAAGATGGAACTACGTACACAGTCATTGTGTACGTAGTTCCAACTCAAAAGTAGAAGTAATTGGCGCTAGTGTACGGGGAGATCAAAACTTTTACCGGTGTCGCGATAAACGCCGGGATAGCCGCTTTCATGCTTCTCTCTGACAACTATTTTGGAACGTTATTACAAGTCGACCATGAACAGATCATAATAATTTTGGAACGACCTACAGTAACTAAGGTTGGATTTTGGAACTCACCCCTTATAGGGTCTCTAGGCCGTCCTTGTCTCATCACCACTAGCTAACAAACACGGAGCTCAAGCGGCGAATTTGTTTATCTCACGGATACACTCCCTTCTCTCCAATTTTTTTGTCTCGCTGAGTTACCGAAATTCAGATGAAAGAAAGAGGATTTTAGGCGATTTCTGGCAGCGAGATGAAAAATAGTTTAAAAGGCATTTTTTCAATATAAATTTTATGTTGTAATACGCGTGTATATGATTCATGCATTACAAATACGCTCGTGTTTAATATATTGTACAATAAATAATAAGAAATAAATAAAAATAATTAGAATAGAAATATTTGACTTTTTTAATTTTTTCACTTACAAGCGATTTTATGTAAAATTTAGTTATTTTAGTTTAATAAATCGCAAATGATATATCAGTAAGTTTTGACTTTCTATATTTTCACAAAGCTCTTTCGACTTGGTGGCAGCGTGTCTGCCTAGTAATCGCAAGATCGCTGCGTGCAGGTTCGCGTCTCGACAAATAATTTTTTTTTAAATTAAAATTTTTAATTTTTATAAAAAAAGTAATAATAATAAATCACGCGGATTTATACACTTTGTCCATTTACTTCCCATAAAAAAAACTTGTACATACATTTTTCCTTTTTTATCATACTCGCTGTCTTGAAAATTAATTTTCTGAATTACTGGATATTAAAAATAAAATTTCTACATTTAGAAATGAAAGAATATTATGAACAATTGCTTTAGGTCAAATTATTCATAATATTCTTACATTTATAAATGTAGGCATTTTTTTAAATACTCAGCAATTTAGAAAATTAATTTTTAAGACAGTGAATATGATAAAAAAAGGAAAATGTACAATTTTTCTTATGAAAAATAAATGGACAAAATGTATAAATCCGCGTGATTTATTATTATTACTATTATTTTATCATAATTAAACATTCTTATTTAAAAACAAAAATTTATTCAGCGATACTCGCGTCAATCTCATCTCGCAAGTAAAACACGCCGTTGTAATCGCCGTCGGCACAATCGCTATTATATTTTATATTTTTATTGTGACGTAATATCACAAAATATATGTATGTGTATATATACAGAGTGTCCCATTTTATATTTAACAGTCAAA